ATATAAATTTATAATTTATTATTTATCTCCTTACTTTTCTGGACTGTCTGGAATATTTTAGGTGCATATATGCTTAGGTTGGAACTCCCTTTAGATGCTCTGAGTTTTTGGTGTGAGTTAATTTCTGTGCCTCTTCTGAAATGCTTGGTCCAAGTGCTAGCTCCTTAAAGTGTATGTGCATTTTACCCTGAACCCTCATTAGATATAAACCAGAATTGTTCTGAATGCAGGGATGAGAATCTAGGTCTAATAGTGGCTTTTTTAAACTTTTCATAAAAAAAAAAGAAGTTGAGCACCCAATTTAAGGAAAAAAATTGCCCTGGGGAGGCAACTGAAAATTGTATAATCAGTCACGGAGGATGGAGTGCCCAAGTCTGTGATTTCGGAATCCACTTAAGCTGTTCTAAGTTAACATTGCTGATGAATAAGGTGGCCTGATGCCTGGCTGCATTTTCCAATCTCCTCCCTTGTACCAGCATTTACCATTCATATAGCTGCATTGTCAGCCAGATCTATTCCCTGGAGTGCCCCTTTCAGCAGCAGCAAACACTTAAATTGGCTAAAATCAATCATAATGCCCTGCGCTGGCCAGACTGATCTCTTTCTCTGGGTCTTCAGAGATTCTTACTTCTCTCTCGTGATTTTATTTAAAAAAAAAAAAAAAGTTAGGCTTTTGTGTTAGGTGCTTCCCCTGAATCAATCACCTACCATTTCAGTGAGGCAGCATCTTAAAATAGGCATCAAGCTCGGTAGTCTGGATTATACTATCTGTGAATTATGTGTTCATTTTGATGGATTTCTTTTTTCTGAAATGACAAGGAATTAATTTAAACGTCAGCAAGATCAGCTGTTCCACTGCCACTCCTTTTAGTGGAAATATTGAGGTTAGTATGCTTGTCCTCCAACCCCAAACTGCTTCTCAGGTTTCCCCAAGATGCCAAAAGTCCCATCTGTTCTCTTCCCAGTTGCCAAAATCTCCAGTTTCCATTTTGGCAATTGCAGTCATTTGTGTTTTTCTTTGCCAAAACTGTCTTTGGTATGGTAAAAACTGAAACTGGAAGAAATTTAAAATATGGACACTTCAGCATCAAAGTAGTACAAACTGCTGTAATGACTGTATTTCCAACTTCATATACCTGTATGCTTGCTAAAGATTACGCGTTTATCATTTAAATTTCACATGCTGTTGAATTTATAGTTTGTGGCAGAATCGGGATAGCATTATAGAATTTAGTTCCAGCTTCTTATGGAGTGTACTGGACTCTGTATTTGAAACAAAAATGGGAAGCTGCTCAGGTTTGTTTGCAGATCTATTGGTATATGTAACCCCACTTATATGTATGACCAGTATTTAGGAGGAATGTATTAGAATGAACAATCTCTCTCTCTCTCTCTCTCTCTCTCTCTCTCTCTCTCTCTCTCTCTCTCTCTCTCTCTCTCTCTCTCTCTCTCTCTCTCTCTCTCTCTCTCTCTCTCTCTCTCTCTCTCTCTCTCTCTCTCTCTCTCTCTCTCTCTCTCTCTCTCTCTCTCTCTCTCTCTCTCTCTCTCTCTCTCTCTCTCTCTCTCTCTCTCTCTCTCTCTCTCTCTCTCTCTCTCTCTCTCTCTCTCTCTCTCTCTCTCTCTCTCTCTCTCAGAGGCTCCAACTTGGGAAAAAAGAAGCAACACATTTGTCACATACCAGGGTGTGGCAAAGTATATGGGAAAACTTCACATTTGAGAGCTCATCTCCGCTGGCATTCTGGAGAGCGTCCATTTGTTTGTACTTGGATGTTCTGTGGCAAAAGGTTCACTCGCAGCGATGAGCTTCAGCGACACCGAAGAACGCACACAGGTTTTCAGTCTTTGATTCTGGTGCATTTAACTAAAGACATGTCATGGAGAGGGCTTGCATAAATAACTTGTAAGAGGAGAACAGATCTTTGTATTGGATTGATTTTAATGTAGTGTGGCTTTTCTGAAATCAGGTAATACTTAGAGCTATGTATATATATGTTTCTTTAGTAGGTCTGAGGAGGAAAAACAGCTACCTTTTTTGATTCAGACCTGACATTTGAGCTAATATTTAATATAGCTTAATCAGAATACTTTGGTTCAGGTTCAGCAATGCATTTCATTTTTTTTGAACCAGATTAGAACTGTTGTTCCAGCTTAAAACTTCAATAATTTTCTCTCATTTAAAAAAAAAAAGAGGGCTAGATGTCCAAGAGATGAGATGTCATCACAACATCAAGGAAGAGCACGTGATGGTGCATCTTTCTACATCTTCTGGTTTCATGATTAGACCACCCATTAGGGACTGCAGGTTCACATTTTTCCTTTTGTCTAATACAAAGAAAAGAAATTAGTCTAGATCTTCTACCTTTTCAAGGAGCAGTTAGTTTCAAATCTATTGTCTGTATTACCTGTTTTCCTACAAACTGAACCCATAGTTATATTCTACAGGATGCTTACCTTTTAAAATTAGACTATTTAAAAAACCCAGTGATGACAGATAAATAATTTATGTGGTTATCAGCATTCACATTGCTTAGAAAACTGCCTTTGCAATGTCTATGAAAAATATTTCATGTTTTGTACCTAATGGTGTGCTTTTGTTAGGCATGTTGGATGCTTGAACACAAGCTGGGATGTTACGGTCTGTCTGGATGGACAGCCAGATGGGTTTTAAAAAAAGAGGCCGGTTGAATGATCCAGCTCAGGGGGTATGGTTAATGGGTCTTAGTGTACCTGCATACCAATAAAAAGTAGAGAACTGCAGGGATCTATCCTTTGACCTGTTGTAACACCTTTATCACTTACCTGGAGGAGTCAACAGAGTGCACGCTTCTTGGGTTTGTGGATGACACCAAACTGGGGTCATCAGTCAGTGCATTTGAGGGCAAGGCTGCTATTCAGAGGGACTCAGACTGAAGGAATGGGCTGACAGGAACCTTATGAAATTCAGCAAGGATAAACGCAAAGTACTGCACCTGGGATGGAATTAACCTTGGAGCACAGGCTAAGCACTGACTAGTTGGGAAGCAGCTCTACTGAAAAGTACCTGGGAGTCTTGACAGACAACAAGAACATGAGCAAGAGCCAGCAGCAAAGATGGCCGGGGCTGTATCAACAGAAGCAGAGACGCTAGTTCTAGGGAAGTCATTATCCCCTTCTCAGCTCTGGATAGACTGCATCTAGAATGTTGCATCTAGTTTTCAGGCCCCAACATGAGAGAGACATTGATCAGCAGGATTGAGTTCACTAAAGGGCGACCAGGATGATCAGGAAGCTGGAGCATTTGCCTCATGAGGAGAGGCTGTAGGAACTGGGCTTATTCAGCTGCACAAAGAGAAGAGTAAGGGCAGTGGGGAGCTTAATAGCAGCCTTCCAGCACCTGCAAGGCCACCATTAAGAAGACAAAGACAGACTTTTCATGGTGGTGCATTGGTGGGAGATTGAGAGACAACAGATGTAAGCTGAAACAAGAGAGGTTCAGACCAGATATAAATAAAAACTTTTTCATTGTGAGGACAGCCAGGCACTGGAACAGGATGCCCAGAGAGTTTCTGCAGTCTCCATCCTTAAAGGTTTTCAGGACCAAACTGGATAAATTCCTGAGCGACCAGGTCTGACCTCATAGCTGACCCTGCTGAGAGATCAGACTAGAGACCTCCAGAGGTCCCTTCAAACCTAAATTACCCTGTGATTTTGTCTGTCAGTCTTGAATGTGATTATGCAGAAGCTCATATGGTCTTCCCGGTCCATCACTTGGCAGGTTTTGTTCTCCTCTTAAAAGTTATTTATTGGTAATAATTGCAGTGAAACTTAGCAGCCTGAGGATATGAGATGGCAATGTTCTTTAGCTTGCTTGAAAGATCTCCCAAACTCAGTGAGACACAGAAAAATAAATCAATTCTTTAAAAGAATTTGCATGGGTATCTAGAAACTTAACACACAGATTTATCATGTTGGTTTGCTTTTTTCTTCAGTGTAGATATTGTTAGAATTTTGACTCTTAAAGGCAGTAAGTTATCTCAGTTTTTGGTGTATGTGTGATATTTTTAATGTTCTTGAAAACATTTTTTTTTCTTATCTTCTGTGACAGGTGAGAAGAAATTTGTCTGTCCAGAATGTTCAAAACGCTTTATGAGAAGTGACCACCTTGCCAAACACATTAAAACACATCAGAATAAAAAAGGTATTCACTCTAGCAGTACAGTGCTGGCATCAGTAGAAGCAACACCTGATGATACTTTGATTACTGCAGGAGGAACAACACTTATCCTTGCAAATATTCAACAAGGTTCTGTTTCAGGAATAGGAACTGTTAATACATCTGGCACCAGCAATCAGGATATTCTTACCAACACTGAAATACCTTTACAGCTTGTCACAGTTTCGGGAAACGAGACAATGGAGTAAATATTACACAAGATACCTATTAATTGTGGTTATTTTTATACAGTAGTGAGAAGAATATTGTTCCTAAGTTCTTAGATATCTTTTTATTGATGTGCAAAAATTTTTGGATTGACAGTAACTTGGTTATACATGACACTGAAATGCCTTACTTTGTATGATATTCCATAGTATATTAAAATGGTAAAATTGCATGGGTTTTGTAGGTACTTTTGGAATCTAGAAGAGATGAAATTTTACCAAGTTATATTAAAAAAAAAAAAAAAGAATTTAACGATGGAAATGGTAGTCTAACCAAATGCATCAATCCTGTGTGGTTTAGTGTAAAAAAAAAAAATGAGAACATGTTGGTATTTATCTATTGTAAGATAAAAGAAGTTGATGGGTGGAAAGAAATCATGTTATGATAAAAGAAATTTTGTAATTTTCTTGATGACTGGAATTTTTATTATGCATAACTGACAAATCAAGTTTCCAAGCAAATGTTACATAGTGTAGGCTTTACTTAGCTCATCAACTTGTCATTTTGAAGCTAATTATTTTAATTAGGTTAACTATGTACAATATTTTAAGCATTACTCTTGTAAGATTTTGAAAACTACATTTTAACATGGAACTCTAGGGATAGTCACCTTTTAAATCCTATTGAAAAGCCATGTTTAAGATTTAATTTGCCAAAATGATGTCTTGTTAATATTCTTTCAATAACCAAGGTGGGCAATATAACCAATGTTTAAAAAGCTTAAAATGTTAAAAAAAAAAAAAAAAATGTATAGGTTGAAGCATTTGGGTGGTAAGGCAAATGTTATAGTGAAGTATATCCCTTCTTTTGAACATTGGAGGACCAAAAATAAGGTGTATTGCGTCTCAGCAGTGATTTTAATCAAATCTTTTTCCAAAAAACATCTGTCTGCCAGGGCCTTAAAAGCCATCATGTAAATTACCAGTAAAATATAACATATGCAAATACAATAGAAAAATCACTTCCATATTGACAGTACTCCCAAACATACGGATATAGTCATAGTGAACTAGGGGTTTTATGAGGTTTTTATTTGTTTGTTGTTTAGTTTTTGGTTAGTCAATCTGCATTTAAATATCAGCCATCTTTCCTTTTTTGCTTCTTCCCTTAAAAATTGTATGTATCCAGTACATTTAACTGATAAACATATATGTTTTTTATTATGCTGAATTTTCTTTTTATTTTTTAATTACTGTTTATATTTTCAATTATAGAAAAATGTACAAAATGAAGTTATATAGCCAGTCTGTAAGTGCTATACCATTTTCAAAAAATGTACAACAATAATTACTGCAGTTCACCTATTTACAAACGTTTGGAAATCTGTTCATTTGTTATTCTTAAAACCACCTCAAATTTAAAGGCTACCTTATTGTACGTTTAAAGTGTATTATAACAGTGTGGTAGTTAATAAAACACTATTTTTTTTTTCTTTTGACTTGAGTTTACTGTACTTCTTGTTAACTAACAGGGTGTAATTTCATAATACATCTTGATAGCCTGAGGTGTTTTATTATTTTGCACTAGATGGTGGGAAGTAGAAATGGTGTTTCCTTTCCTTATGGGCAAGGAGATGGTATTACACCACCTCCTTGCTCTCACCCCCACCCCCGCCCCCCATCTGTATGCGCATGGGCATGCATGTGCTATATACTGTGTTGGTGTAGTGGCAACTTTTTTGACCTTATGCTGAGCAGTGTGCAAAGGAAACATAGGTCCTATGCTATAGAATATGAAAATAAAGTTGCATTTAAGTCACATAACACTTAAATGCCACAATACAGTCTTGATAGGGAACTGTGGCTAAGGGGGATAATGGCCTTCTGCTTAAAGCATAGGAAGAAATAATAAGTACAAGGGGAAAAAGCTGTGAGCTTAGAAAATATGACTGGAAGAGTGAGGTGATGGTTTAGATGAAGTAAGAAAGACCAGTGAGAACTGTGAGATTAAAGAGAGTGATGGTTGTATATGATGCTATAATGAAAGTGAAAAGCTTTTGTTTGTGAAGCCTAAAGTCTTGGAGTATCAAATGGCCAGAGGACAGACCAGGATAAACCAGGTAGAGTTCAGCCTAGAAAAGAGAGAACTGGAAAAAGTCATGAAGGGAAGATGTGCTGCATTTGCAGTTTAATAGAAAAAAAAAAATTAATGCAAATCTTTTGAGATTCAGAGCAACAGGAATTGACAGGTACAGAGAAAAGGGAGTTAATTCACCATCAGCTTAATCTTCTATTTAATAAAATGGGAGAGTGAAATTGTGTGGGAAGTCACAAGAGCAGCAAGCAGCTTGGGAGAGAAGACAGTTCTGCTTACGCTTACACCATTCCATGGATGTTGTCAATATTTTAACGTACTCTGAATCCACTTCCTTTAGACAGGTCAGTGGGCTTAGTTTCCGAAAGCTGTTTTAGTGTACAGAGCATGTTAGTGTAAATTACTTTCATTCCTAATACTTAGGTTCTGTTTCTCGTCTCTCTAGCTATCTGTTGCTATATTAGTGCATTATTTAAGAAGGAGGGAATGAAACTGCTTTTCAAAAGTTTTATGGAATGACACTTTCACTGATGTGCATCTGTGGCTGAAGGTGTTTTGGTGCCAAGGGTTTTGATGCCTCATTGCTGAAGATGAGATCGCTTTATTTGTCAGAACTTTAATGCTCAGTACATCAAGTGGTTACTTTAATTAATGTTTAGGTGGCAGAATTTTTTAAAAGGATATTTTGTTGTTAAGAAACTTCAGAAGGCAGAAGTTTTGAAAGAAAGTAACTCTGGAAATGTGTAGGTAAAAGTCTGACGGAAAGCCTGCAGTCTAAGGGCCGTCTGCCTAATGGCTCACAGCCATAGCATTTGTGTTATTTGAGAACGCTGCTGCGTGTGTTCACATGTTGCGTGGTAGTGATTTTTGAAAGATCTCTGCTCACCTCCAGGGCAAAGGTTCACGAGCCCAAGAATAAGATCTTCAGTATATCTAGGATTGTTGCTACCTCATGGCTTTCATTTGTGGTCACTCTAGCAACTCATGATACCAAGACAAAATTGTGCACTCTGTAGAAGGCTTTCTGAGTTTATCTGTGAATCAGTTCTTCATGGGTTCCTGATGATGGTTGCTTGGTGTGCTTCTTGCTTCTTCTTGGTACAACCTGTAGCATTTTACGTATTTATTTTCTCATCAGGCTTCCTTGCTTGTATACTTTCTTGGTACAGTAGCCTTTAGATCCTTGGATGCTTTCTGTCTCTTGAAGTCTGATGTAATCGCCAATTAAGACGACCTTAAAACTGGTTCTGCAACAGAGCATGAGCTTGACAGCTACCCATGTTATCAATCTCAACAGCCAGGGTACTGATTTTCAGTAAGTACAAGGCCTGTACATACACTTGCTATAATATAAGTATTCTTGGGCTCATTCCTGAATTAACTAATGGTTTGATCCTTGCAAGTTACAAACTACTGCTGATTCTTGCAGAGAACGAGGTTTTAATCATTGCTATTTACCAGGCCAAGGGGCAATATGACTAAGGAGAATGATATAATCACTGAAACGCTTGTGAGGAGCAGGATTTCTGGTTTGAAGATTCAGATTTTCCTCTGGGAAAGGACTCTACAGAGCTCTTCTTTTGGCTTGTCTGAACAAGAAATATCAGGCTTTGGTTTGAGGCATTTTGAGATGCTGGAATCAGTAAGATAAACCTTCCCAATGGCTTCAGGAAAGCTGATATGTTCTCTAACAAGTTGTTCTGGGTGTTGGGGAATGAGGGAATGGAGCTAATAGTCACCTATCAAATGGTTCTTAGTTCTTTAAGTAAAGATCTAACGAGCAGGTGGCTGGTTTTCCTCCAGCTTTTACCACCACCATTACCACCAGACGTGTGGAGCATGCACTGTAGAAAAGGGCAGAAGATGCTGACGTGGCTGACTTAGATCTTATCTTGCAGATGATATTTTCTATAAAAAGACCACCTCCATTTAATGCTCCAGAATTGCTGTTCATTACTACTTCACTGTATTCTGGTACGTCTTTCCTATAATCTGTGTCTGTAGGATGTCTGCTAGAATCTTAGTCAGATGAGTAGGTGCTTTATGCAGTCTCAAGTATTGCTCCAAATGGGATCAGTAATTTATCATAAGCACCTGTGACCACACCTCTTCCTGGCAGTGAAACAGTGGTCTGTGGGAGCCTTCTACCTCTCTTGTCCAGATATGTTGATCCTTCCCAATTCCTGAGATGTCCAAGAGGCCACAGGCAAAAATAAAATGAAAAAAACCCAAAAATAAAAAAAGGTCAGAGTAAAAAGCTCTTGAGTGTGATTTTTCGATTTTGCAGCAGTCCAAAGATTGAAGTTGTCCCTTTGCTTAGAACTGTGCTGCGTGCCTTTTTTTGCACGGTGTCTCAGCCTTTGTGCTTGGAAAATGACTATTTATAAAATGTGTACATAATTTAATTTTTAGGTACACAATACATGACGTACTGCATTGTACAAAGGATTTACATACATTTTTCTGTAAATGTGTTTGTGTGGAGGTAATACATTATTTGAAGATTCTTTATTTTCACCCAGAAGGCAGAAACGTTGCTGACAGTGAAAACCTATCCTTCACTTCAGTGGTAAGTCTCCACTGTCTCTCACAGTCATACCTTGCTACAAACTATGTATAGTAAATCCCGTAGTCTGGTGGTCATTGGGACCTAAAATTGCCCATACAAAGATTGTTCAAGGTTTGCATATTTTGAAATTAAGGAAAACATAAAACAAAGACTGCAAAGTAATAATACACAGCACACAGCTCTTCTCTGATCACCTGGCAGAGAAAGATGCTGTGCTACCCTTAGCATTTCTACTAGACAGGGATTGCATCCATTTTTCACACCAGTGGGGTGCTGGTGGTTTGCATCAGGTTGTTCTGTGCTCTAGTTTCTGTAAGATCGTATCAAAAGGAAACATTTTATACAAGGGGTTCTACATATGTTTCCTTCTTTAATCTTGAAAGTAAGAAAAGAAAAGCCATTTCTGACTCAAACCAGAGAGTGTCTATGTAACTCCAGAGCTCACTTTCGCATCTTGGCACTGACCAAGCCCCTGTCTGGACAAGTTGGTACACATTCTCAAGCTCTATCATTGCTGAGTTGGCAGAAGAATGGTCTGAAAATTATCTGCAAGGAAATAACCTTCCCTCCCCTGCTATGCTTTCTCTTTAGTCAAAAAGCCCAATTGTACAGATTTTGAACTCAACATGAGATGGACACTAGCAGGAAAAGGTTCCAAAGCAAGACTTGGAACTATTTATTGTTTGTGCACAGCTTTCCTGTTCCCTCTGAAAGCTCAAATCTTGGGCATGCTAGTGGCATGCCTACAGATAAAACAAGAGTTACTTCTTTATATATTTTAAAACATACTTGCATTTTTCACAAAACTACGTGAAGAACAATACCTTTGCAAGGATTATAGGCTGCTAGATCACCATAGCAAGTAATTTTCAAGCACCAGTGATTAGTTGGTAAGTGGTATCATATAATCCAACACACCCTTCTCCAGGAAGGTCTTTCAAGTGAGGACCTCTTGGGCCTTCAGAAGAAAAGAGCTGGGTTCCAGGCATGGACAAAATATCACTGAAATCTTATGTTATCCAAAGCAGTCCTTGACTTTCACATATGCTGGGCCACCCACCCACATTCTTAAGTTCTCACTTCTGTTTCTATAGAATGTACTCCCCTATGCAAGGTATTCACAGAATTTTATTCATAATTTATGCACAAAACCCACAAATGGCTACTTCATTACAGATGCTTCCTAACTGGATTTTTTTCCTCCCTCAGGGTGTGTTTTGATTTGACAAACACTTAGAATAACAGTCTACTCCATTATGTTGCAAGCAACTATTGCTGCTGTGTTAAATGACACCATAGTAGAGGTTTAGGGGGAAAATCACTGGGATTCTATGTATGTGTTCACCCCATGGTGGATGTCTCCATCATGATGATGTTTCTGACAGGACTGATCTACATTTACTGCTTATATTGTTTCCCAATTTCTCTCCTCTCTATCTAGGCCACTGCAAGAATCATTATCAGTACGTAGGGATGATAGTAAATAAAATAAAAAAAAAAAAATCCTATTGCTTCTACTCACTGTGGGTTTAGGAGACTTTGGTTTTTTATTCTGTGAACCATTCTTTTCCCTGGTACTAGAGTCTGGTTCTAGTCCTACAAATGGTACTGCTGGAAGGTTTGTTGGTGAAAAGGATGGCTCCTGAAAGGTAAGAAGCCATGTCTTGTATTGTTAGCGTGGCTGTGACCTACTCTGGGACCTTCCACCAGCCCTTCCACTTCTCTGAGCTCCTGCTATTTTTGGTCACACTATTTGCCTGTTTTGGAGGTGTTGAGCACAAGCTAATCTGGCACAGCTGTATCCCTTACTATGTAAGCCTTGGATCCCTGTTGGG